TTAGCGAGATTAAGCACTTCTTCCAAAGTGATCCACTGGGTAAAAAGTTGGTTGAAGTAATGAAGGAAGTGGCGAGTGTGTGCCAGATGGTGAGGAAGAAGGCACGCATGGCACTGAAGCAATATGTGAGAAATTTGTTAAATGAGGCTGAGTAGAGGAGGTAATGCACTGTCATGTGACTAGTCATAGATTTTGCTCAATAAACCATCTAATGTACCTTTTGTGAGGTTTCTTGATGCTTATCTGGGTGACTGAACTCCATAGCTAATATGCCATAACATGCCTTCAACTGCAACTTATTTTCGCCCTTTCTGAATGAGGATACACTAAAATTTGACGCGCCGGGGATGAGGAAGAATACCTCTGGATAGCATGGCAGGGCACAAGACAGTGCCAGCCACCGAATGCCCATTTCACAACTCATGCATTATACGGTCACAAACAGGCTGAAATCGTAGATGTAAGTGTCAGAAACATTCCATAGCAAAAGGCACTACGGATGCCTGTAACACGATGCCGATTTGGGAGAGAGAGAGTGGACAAATTTGGTAGATTTCCATCCTACAAGGAACGATGACTGCATAGGCTAAACTGTCGAGCAGTAGCACATTCAATATTTATTTATTTATTTATGTTGAACCCTCAACAGTTCCCATTAGATTTGTGCCTAAATATACAAGTTTGTTTTTAGCTTTCAGATCAGTTTTCTGGACCAACTTTCTTGGAAGCCATTTCTAAGGGAATAGTTAGCACAAATAAAAACCCACCTACTGGATATACGGATGCAAGAAAATCATGCATTTTGAAACTGAAATGCCATCCACCGTTAATTGCTACAGCTTAAGTGATCCTTAAGCGATCACAAAAGTGTGACTTCTCCGTTGTATCGGTTTTTCCTATGTTTTCCTTTTATCAAATCAACTTGGGGTGGTTTGGCACATCTTTCACATATCAAATAAGATCGAATGAATGACACAAAAACACTGTAATTTTGTGTTGGATAAATAGGTGCCATTGTGCTGTCGGGATCGTCGTAAAAGTTCGTAATTTACTCACCTGGAAACCCAATTTATAGTGGATTATATTTATAGACCACAAAATTTGTGATTTGCAGTAAAAATTTTAGGTAGCGTGGGCAAATTCTATGGCCCTGAAGACTACATCAATCCCCGAGGAGGAGAGGGAGAAGAGGGAGGAAGAGGAGGCATACACAAATCCTTCCACTAAACTTAGAAAATATGTCAACTCTTTAAGCTTTCTATTACGAAATATCCTCTCTTGGCCAAAGGGTAGAAGGGAACAACAACAAAAACATTGCAAAATGCCTGCATTTAATTAAAGCGCTGCCTATTAAAGCCAAAATTTTTGCATTTTACAATGTCTTCTGTGTTATAATTTAACATTAATATATGAAAATGGACCGTTTTTTATTAAACTCTAGATTATTAGGGAAGAGAAATAAAGAAGACTGGGTAATTTAATCAAGTCTTTAAAGACTACCTAAGTAAATCACGCAGTTGCAAGACTTTGTTTATTATTTATTTCCTATTTTTCGACAATGTAACATGTTTACCTGACATCTCATTATCCGAGGTTGTTGTCTTCGCCGTAGATGGTTTCCTTTTGCACACAGTGCGATTAATTCAAACTTTGATGACAATGTTGGCACAAAGACGAACCTAACAGGAAGTGGATGGAGTATAAGCGGCAGCCCAGAGTGATCTCTCCCTGTATATGCTTGTGACACTTGTAGGAACAATCAAAAAATGAAGACCTACATCCTTCTCGCTCTTGCTCTCGTCGCTATCGTGGCCTTAAAACCTTTGTTATGCTTTAATTTTTTCCTTTTAGAAAAGATATAACCGAAATGCACACGAAGCGGATATCGGAAAGATGGAGTGATCCACTGGGCCAAAAACTTGCTGCTCATGACAGGGACCTAACAGACATCTATAAGGAGCTAGAATTATAGATTCGCAAGGAACAGAAAAAGTGTGTCAGAAAGATGTTAGAAAAACGAAGATAGTGAATTGGACTAAATCGTGAGTCAATTCACAAGATTTGCCTAATAATTCTTTTATGTGAATTTGGGAAAGTGCGAATTAGCCATGTTGGCGTGGCCGTCTGAGAAATGCAGAGCATACTCACTAACCCTTGGATGGAGTCGCTTTTGACTACAGTCTGACCATGAAGCTCGTAATTTCGTCTCGGCTTGTTGAGAATGTATGCTACTTATTAATTATTGAGTAGGCAAGTGTGTAATGAGCAGGGCCCTGTTGATCGACATTAGGAAAAGATCTAACTATGCAGTTATTCCTTAAAATTCAAATTTTGCAAACGGCCGTAATGGGCCGTTCCAGCACAAAAGCTGTACGCACCACTAACGAAGAGCGGGAACGCAAGTCTACAAAATGTGTTGAAGCACCATCCCAAACCCTGGAGATTAAGGAGGTTGCCCAAGCGTATGCACAACTGAAACAGGCATATTCCTATTGTAGTAAAACAAACAAAAGTGGGCTTGAAACAGTGCCACCTATCAACAGATTCGCCCACTTCTTGGTGTTCAAATTCTTTATGTCATTATGCAATGTACGAACAGGCGAGAAGCTATATGGCGAAAATGGGTGTGGAAACTTCAGATAATTAACTAGCTTAGTTAGTATTTTACGGCTAGTCGGATACCAATCACCTAGTTGCAGTTTAGACACGAAACACTAAGTTCTTGTAAGATTTTACTTCATTACAATGTAAGAGGTTGTCATGTATCCAATTTTCCTTATCTAACAGTACAAAACTGGAGGTAGAAGGTCAAAGCAGCAAAAATGCTACACAGGACAGCAAGAATAGTCAAATAACTGCTACAAAATTTGCAGTCAAATCGAATTTTAAAAAGCTACGAGGTAGGTTTTTTAAAAAGACAGAGCCACTTTTATTAGATAAACTCTGTCAATGCATTAAAATACTGGAAATTTACAGCCAATTCAAGTCAGATAAATCATTTCCTTGGTTAAGAAAATCAAACAAATTTTGACAGAATAGTCTCAAGAGTTGTCGAATTTTTGTGCTTCATTTATAAATTTCGATGTATTACCTAAGTACTACGAAAAATTGCTTGTTCTGGTGCCTTAATATTTCACGTAAGTAAAAGCATCCCAGTATGATGATCAGAAGATTTTACACGCCTAAAAGAAGGAGGAAATTTCCAAACTTTACACCTCCGTCTCGTAGGATGATCCTTCAACAAATCTTGTAGACTTTCAGTCTCACTCTTCATCGATAACTCGTAGATTCTTTGTGCTGGTGTGACCCATGACGACCTCCTGGCACACCGAAGGTGGCACAATGGTGGCAAAGATGAGCGATCCCAACAAAAGTTTGTCTGTCATTTGGGTGGTAGGCAAATCGGAACCTTAGCAAAAGAAAACATCATTTGTGGGTGACTAGATCCGCGAAGATGCGAAGCAGAAGGGTTAGATAAGTGTCTTTGTCTGACAGACATCCAAAGTGGGATTGAAGATGAGGCGACGTAGTCACTGATGTGGCATATGGGGCCATGCCACCAGGCAGAAGTAAAGCAATGGAAAGGATGTGAAAAGTTGAGACAAATATCCCTTCACCAAAGGCAAGTGCGAGTTAGGATTATAGTGGGTAGGTGCGTGAGCGATTGACAGAGAGGGATTTGGAACGGCTGTTGGTAAATTTATCACTTCGAACCCAAATGTAAGCGGCACTGAAGGCATTCATCATTGCCCAAAGCAATGAACTGGAGAATGTAACCATGCCTGCCAACTGTCAAAAAAAAGCTTTGCTTTTTGATATCGTAAGCTGAAAGTTGGGGGAATGATTGCCTAAAAAAAGGCAATAAATGTGTCTTTAATTGATAGGCTGAGGTTGTTGGTTGCCTGTATCTTCAGTTATGCTATTAGTAATGTGTAATTCTGTTGCTCTGTGTGGTCTGCGTCCTCCCTTAAAGCAATATGTGGCCATTTTATGCGAGGACAGAAAGTGTTATGAATTGTTAATTGGATACGACTCAAACAGGGAAGGTCGTTGCATTATACAGAGATGGAAATGCTAGTATAATTGAGCAGACAGCAGAGAAGTATGAAAATGCAGAATTGCCACCTTAGCCACGGAAAGCCATGTTCTGAGCCTTCCGCACATTAAAGAAACTTTACTTAAGAATCAAAAAAGGATTGCGGGGATTTCTAACACCCTCTCAGTCTAAAATGCTCACTTACTTTTTTTGTGAATAAGAAGAATTCGTTGCCACACCTCGAATAGCAAGTGCAACTAAGACTTCATGGATTCATCTTTTGGTTTGAAATTAAAATCATACTGATTAGATTTCCAAATAAATTTAGACACATTAACTAACCAATTTATAATATGACAGTGGACGATCCCGCAAGCAAGGCAATGCTACTGATAAGATGAAAGTAGCGAGATTTTCCATTCTCCATCTATTAAATGTAAAAGGAAGAAATTTCTTGCCGCTTTCTGCCCTAATTATTGTCCATTTAAATTTGAGAATTAAATACATCTGCCGCACTCCGAGTCTTCCTCAAAGTCCAAACAAATCACACTAGTTTGGAAGGTGATATATTCTTTGCGGATATGGAGGCCGGGAGGCTGATATGCTTGCCTTTCGTATTTTTTTCAAATCATGCCTAGAAGTGTGAGGAATCATCGTAGGCCTTGACTGGCTTTATCATGCACAACTCCGACCAAGTGATCTACATAGAAAAGAGGAAGAAGGTAACATTCACTTTCGGTCTTGCATCTCCAACTCTCACCAGCACAGAGGTGGTTGAGTTTCTCACTGTAGGGAATATTTTAGGGAGGGTATTGACGGCACTTATGCTTGCCAAGTAGTGAACCTGCCTCTTTTGACTCGTAATTGTACATGGCATAATCAGCAATCTATAAAACCTTTTCTTAAATCACATACAACTTATACTGAGGCCGTATTATCATTCAGCATAGTCCTCCACTCCCTCCTACAATTATACACCTAATTTTCACAATTGTGTACGAACAACTCGGTAATTGTTTACAGGCACACCTCATCAAAAGTCGATACTGGTCATGTTTACCGTCTCTCTTACTGTGTATTTGGAAGTAAATAGGCGCCCGTTGCTTATCAGATTTTCATATATACTCAACGCTAGGTGCTGTCGAGTGTCTAAAATGCAGGATAGTATAGCCATGTTTTGTTCACTCATACCCTAAGATTTCACGAATAAACTAGATTATCCCACGAGGCATATTTAGCAGTGGCAACGCGATTTCTCTGACACAACTTCCATTAGACTACCTTCACAGACAATTATTCCGCTTAATCATTTACAAAAGAGAGAAGTGTAGCTTGCCAAAAGGGTTTGGAAAAGACCTGCTTAGTAGTGCAATACGGAAGGACTGGAGGCCAAATTGTGAGCGAAACCGAATTCCGAGGGCAAAGGTCCAATGTAAGAGGTAAATGGGAGGGTTGGAAGGAGTTAGACGTGGATAAGGTGCGCTAACACCTACACGGTGACCAGCCCGCAATAACCGAGAAGCCCGACTCTTTGAATGGTTCATTTAAACAAACATTGTTTTTGCAATAAAATCAGTAAATTGATGATGTCATTTGATTTGTGTCAATTCCTCCATTGTTAGTCTTTGGTGAATTGACTACTCGCTCAAGAGATAGCTTTCAGAGTTTATTTCAGGAAAGTGGTCAAATTTGGCACTCTTTTTAATATAAAATTGCTAGTCATTGAACGTTAAAGGGGTCTTCGAGCCCTTCTCTTGTAATTTCCAGCCTCTGTTCCGTCGAGCAATCATTAGAGCCAAGCCGAATAGCTTTTAACTGTTTTTTTCCTTCTGCCTCCAGTTCCAGACTTCTAGAAATTTTGCAAATTATCAGAGTTTTTGTGGGAGGATCTGTGTTTGTCACCTTCTCCTAATTCTCGAGAACAGCTGAAGTCTTCGCAGCCGCAATGCGAGTTATTCTTTTAACAAATGATTGGACTTTAAGTAAGCAAATTGTTCCAGTTTCTCACTAACCGCCGATCAAATGTTTGTTGTTGTGATAGTAGTGTAAGTGCACAAGTTATATACCGGAAACCCTTTGTAGTTGTAAATAATGTTTAAAAAGCCTTAAAATTTAGGGTTAATCAGTTGTGGCTATGAAGACCTCATTGATCCCCGAAGAG